TGATACCAGTCAGTATGTGGTTATTACTTATTTACTTGTTCTACACATTAGGACCTCTTCTATTTAAGCTATGTTTTTCATTATTGTGTTTTCCTTCTTCTTTCTTTGTAGGGTGTTTTTTACTGTAGTTTACATAGTTTATTAAATTTTATCATTCTTTACGTTATATTTTGCTTATTTTTTCCTTGCATGTATTTATTTTGACTGTATTTAACATATTTTTATTATATATTTAGCATATTACCCCAATATAAGTAGTTGTCTAGTTCTTTACAGTTCTTTATTTGTGATTGTAGTTTACATAGTTTTGTTGTATTTGAGCATATCTTACAAATTTTTGTTCGGTTGTCTCTCGTTTTTTCAAAGATTACGCCTGACTGTGTATGGACTCGCTACGTTTTTTAATATTTTTTTTTTTGTTAATTTACAGGTTCATGTCCCGTTTGTATAATTGAGTATGTTGTAAAGTACGTTTACCGTATTTTCTTTGATGTGAACTGTTTGTGATCATTATTTTAAACCTTTTTTACTCGTTTTTCGAAAGATTACGTCTAGATCTACCCAGCTATTTGTAAATGTTTTTTGATGTTCTCTGTCATTTGTAGCTAATTTTCCGACTCATGTCTCGTTTTTAGCATAATTCGGTATGTTTTATTGTATTAACCATATTTTATTACCTTTCCAACAAGTAGGTGTTTATTGGTGTTTGCATGTTTTTTCTTATAATTTTGATCTGTTTTAATTGATGCTTATTACTTTTTGCGTGTTGCCTCTTATAAGTTTAATGTTTTTAATGTATTTTTCATTGAATGTCGACTGCTTTGATCATTAATTCCTATCTGTCGATAAGTGTTTTAGTACTTCATTGCATGTCGATATAATTTTAACATTATTTGCCACCTGTCAGTACGTGTTTATTACTTTTTAACTTGTTGTACACATTAGTACCTCTTCTATTTTAGCCATGTTTTTCATTATTGTTTTTTGCTTCTTCTTTTTTGTAGAGTGTTAATTTTTACTGTAGTTTACATAGTTTATTATATATTTTAGTATTTTTTACATTATATTTTGCTTATTTTTTCTTTGCAGGTATTTATTTTGACATTATTTAACATAGTTTTATTATATCTTTAGCCTATTACCCCTGTATAAGTATTTGTCTAGTTCTTTACAGCTCTTTATTTGTGACTGTAGTTTACATAGTTTTGTTGTATTTGAACATATTTCACAAATTTTTGTTCGGTTGTCTTTCGTTTTTTCAAAGATTACGTCTGTCTGGGTATGTACTCGCTACATTTTTAATATTCTTTGTTGTTAATTTACAAGTTTGTATTTTGGTCAATCTTCTTCTTCAGATGCAAATCCACTAATGGATGTTAGCGATCACATTTTCCATTAAATCTCTATTTCTTGCAATATGTATCAGAGATTGTACGTCGTTAATCCCTGTCCATTGCCTTATGTTTCGGAGCCAGGACATTTTCCTGCGTCCCATTCCTCTCTTGCCTTAAATTTTGGTCAATAACAATAACATATTATTGGATCTATCGAACGACAGGTCTTATTGGCTATTTGGTACTATTTTAGGGGGGTGCAATCGAGCGGACATCATTGTTGTATAATAATATGCATATTTAGGTAATTGTTATTTCCTAATTTCATTTTAAAACTACAGACGATAAAAATTGTTTTTGTGTAGTATATTACTAGTTATCGTTTTCTTGCAGTCTCGTAGTGAGATTGAAAACCACATATTCTGATAAAAGGCGTGCCTTCAGTTATTTTTCATAGTTTCTTCTAGACTATTATTCAAAGGTAGTAAACATGTTTACGTGCTTTGGTCAAGTTATCGGCTTTTTGAAGGATTTTTGTTATAGATGCATGGGCTGGAAAGACTTGGTATACATTTTTAAATCAGTATGTAAGTGTTCAGTCATAAAAATTATACGTCGTATCGTTTCAGAAACTATATTGTTACATACCGCTAGTATTCTGTGATATTTGACAGTAAAAACGGTGTGTGTCTACTGTTTTTTGTGTTATTTTCTGAGAACATTGTGGTCGCTGTGTTAGTGTACGTGTTTTCGCAAATAGTGTTTAATCAGACAAGTAATGAGTATTACATATTGCCTGTCTCTAGAGTGTCTTCAGTTCTAAAGAAGGTAATATGTGATATACGGTTGCTTGTTTTTACATCCACGCATGCTGTATTCTGGATTTTAGGGTATGTGTTTTTTTTTTTTTTTTGCACGTATTTATTTGTGACTGTAATTTACATAGTTTTCATATATTGCGGCATATTTCCATGTAGTATTTATTATATTTTTTAGCATATTGCGTAAGGATATTTGTGTATTTATGTGTAGTTTTTTATTTGCGCCAGCAGTTTACATAAGTGTATTGTATTTGAGCATATTTTACAGATTTTCGTTCGGTTGTCTCATTTTTTCCAAAGATTACGTCTAGCTCTACTCTACTATTTTGGCACTGTTTTTACCTTTACCTTTAGCAGTATTTTGGTAATTTATTTTACCGTCGGGTAGTAACTAGTAATTTTTTTTATGTATAACACCTCTTGTCCTTTGTGATGTTTTTTATTGCTACGATTACATGTTAAATGCTAGATTGCTTTCTCAATTTTTTTACATTTTATGTGTATGTTTTTGATGTGTTTTTAATGTATTTTTCATGGTATTTACATGGTTGCTTTGCCCTTTGCTTTTTTTTGTGAGACAGTGTATTTGCCTTGAGGTTGTATCCCTTCTTGTTTTACACATTAGTACCTCTTCTGTTTTAAGATATTATGTTTGTTCGGTATATATATTTTTTGCTTATTTCTTTGTAGGTATAAATTTTCTAACTGTAGTTTACATAGTTTTATTGTATTTTAACGTATTTCACAGAAGTCCCATCTTTTTGTCTCGTTTTTCAAAGATTACGTGTATCGGATATGTACTCAGCTATTTGTAAACGTTTTTTTTATGATCTCTGTTAATTGTCGCTAATTTTCTGTCTCATGTCGCGTTTTTAGCATATTTCATTATGATTTATTGTATTAACTGTATTTTATTACCTTTCCGACGGGTAGGTCTTTATTACTGATTTGCATGTTTCTCCTTATAATTTTGATTATTTTTTTAATGTATATTCATTGCATATCAAATGCTTTGATTGTACCTCTGTAAAGCATATTTGACATTTCGCCGCTTCGCAAGAACGTAGGCTTAAGTCAAAAAATACGATTTTAGAGGAGAGACATTTTAAAGTTTTGTAGAAATGATTATGAGCATAACTCCGAATAAGTTGTTACTTTAAAGGAAAAACCTATACAATTTGGTTAGAAATTCATCGAAATATAAACTGTGATAAGTAGATAAATTTATTAATTGTAAAAAGGGTTAAATTTAGATTTGAGTCTTTTTTTCCTAAGAAACATTTACTTAAACTTTGTTAATAGGGCTATTATATATATTGTTATTATGAAAATTATTAAGTAATTATTTTTTTATATACTGTATAACGTAAAATTACCATAATCATTTTAAAAATTAGTCTTACACTCCGGTCCAATATGTAAAACAGAGTCGGTACTGAATAGAAGAGATGTCAAAGCTCAAACAATAAAAGGCCAATGAAATGAAATCGTTTATTCTTTTATATCTTGTTTTTTAACAATACTAAAAAAATTATAAGCTTTCGTAAAATGGTTGATAGTGCCCAGGAATAACTTTTTTTTTGAATCAAATTTAATAATCCACTTTTCTTTTTAGCAGTAATAGACGGTTTTTTTATATAAACATTTTTCAAGGTATAAGTTTGGTTAAAAGCTTTGGATGTTTTGTTACTAGTTGGCACTTTAACTACTTTGTATTCTTGTTGGGCAAAAGATGTCTTATAAAAAAAATAACCCTCATGATCACTGCTTACACGTATTATTTTGATATCATTTAGCTTTAAGATTTCGTTCTCTGTAGTTTTAGAAAAATTACTACCAATATCTGCTGCTAGAGACTTCAAGTCAAAAAAACTTGTGGAAGACATTTCAAAAACTTTGTACGGCGGACCTGACTTTTTGGCATTTCTGATAATTGAAATATACTGGTCGGGTGTGTAGATTGGGCCCGACTTTAAGGATTTTTCTATACTTCTTTGAATTACAGAATGGGCTGAATCGCCCTCATTCTGTGTATGTCCCTTTATGAGGAATTTATGTGTAATGGTGTTAATGTAGGGTAACTTTTTCACAGCGTATATGTATAGGGAAATTAAGAAGCGGTTTTTCTGTTGCCCACAACAATTGTCTGAAAAGAAAATAACATTAATTTTCTGATCATCTATTACTGTAGTGTGTAGACTCTGTAAATAATTAAAGACGCAGGTACCAATCTCATTGGCACCTCTATTGGCTTCAGCCTCATGCCAAACATAACACGAGACATCTTTAGATTTTAAATTAAATATTGTGAAATTATACGTGTTTAATTTCGACACATAATAAAAATTTGATACGTCACCTCGCGGACATGGCATAGACGCTTGCAGGTCATAAACACAGACAACAAGTGATGGATCGTTTTCGGCTGTTAATTTGTCTTTATTTTTTTCATCTCTTGCCAAATCTTTTTCTTTTAAATGTATATCAATATTAAGACGCATTTTTTCTCGTTCACTTACAGATGCATTTTTAAAAGAAGTACAGTCTTCGCATTGGTCTTTCTTCGGTTGGAAATAACCAATATTAAATTCTTTTTGGAATATTTTGTGAAACATAACATAATTAACGTAAGCTTCTTTATTTTCTTCTTTTTCTTTAACATAATCTCTGTGTATATCTGAAAGTGATCTTCCACCATCAATATATTCTTTTTTAGAGTCGGCTCTACAATAGTGGCTTTCAATTCTGGGTATATTATTAATGAAGTTGCGAGCACCTTGCTTTATATTCTCATCAATATGATAATGATTTTTGTGTTTTCCACGTAAATCATTAAACTGTATACCTAGAATGTCTTTATGTGCTTTAGTCTTAACTGTTCGTACAACCCTATCAGATATATCTAACGTGGATAAGAAGAATGTTTTACATACACGGGTTCGTGTCATATTATCACCATTTGTAAGAAAAAATGCCATATTTGGTTGACGTGTTCCTTTCTTATATTGATATTTCGGTTCAATATGTGTCATATTAAAAGATATAAAATCTCTTTTTCGTTCAATGTCTGGTAAGTCATAATACCCTTCAAAAATTATCTGCCTTTGCTCCTCTGTGAATTTAGTACTACATTGTAATTTACATTTATCTGTACACGGTTTTCCCACTTTTCTCATTGGTTTTATTTTTTTTTCTTTGGACTTAGTAACGTATTCTTTTCCACTATTTCTTAATCGCTTCGCCTTATTTCTAATCCACTCATCAGGTTGTGACTTTCGTTTCATAGGTAATTTCTTATCTTTCTTAGTTGGTTGGGGCATGTTGTCGTCTGAATCTGATAAATCATTCTGATCTTGAGTGTAATCCGGGTCCGCTACGCTGTCGCTAGATGAAAACTCTTCTAATTTTTCTTCGATATTTCGAATCTCATTCTTATCTTGTTCAATGGTTTCAGCAGGATTTTTTATTCTATTTTCTTCTGTCTCAAAATTATTTATAAGTCCTGACCCTGTATTTATATCATAGTTTACATTACTTTGATCATTTCTAGCATCCATATTAGTTTCAATGCCTTCCTGGGTACATTCTGTATCCGGGTCCGCTATGACGTCGCCAGATGAAAAATTTTGTAATTGTTCTTCGTTATTTCCAGTCTCATTTTCATCTTGTTCAACGGCTTCAGCAGGATTTTTTATTCTATTTTCTTCTATCTCAAAATTATGAACATGTCCTGTCTCTATATTTATATCATAGTTTACATTAGTTTGATAATTTATTCCATCCATATTAGTTTCAATGGCTTTATCCGTACATTCAGTATCCTTATTATTAGATGATTCAGAGTCGGATGACTCAGAATCTGAGGAGTTAGATGACGACGAAGAGGAGGAGGTAGATGAAGACGACGTAGAGGACGTAAATGAAGCTGATTGATGATTAGTGATTTGCTCCATATTATCAGATTTATGAATAAAAGTTTGCACTGGTTCTAACTGCATACTAAGTTTCATAGTATCTGTAAGGAAAAAATATTTATATATTATCTTATATATTATAGTTATTATTAACGTAATAAAAAACATGATAAATTCACAAACACCTACGATATATATTTCGACTATTTTCTTAAAATAAATTGAAAATTTTTCAGGTGGCTCAAAACTATGACTTTATTTAAGAAAATAAATTCGCAAATTTTGTAAAGAATTGTTGGATAAAATTGGCGCAAAATGGGGATTTTATTTACAGCAACAATTTATTTATATTGCATAAAAGTCTATAACAGCTATCTTTTAATACCAAAAAATAATTTTTATGAAATTTTCAAAATGGAGGTATAGGTAAAGAGTTGATTTATTATCACTCACGAACTCTCTCGAAAGTGCACTAAATACTAAATTAAACCCATAACATAAATATCCGTTAAAATACACAGTAAGATAATAAAAAAATTACCATCCACAACGGAATCATCGTCTTGTCGGTTATTTCCTTTTTTAAACGTAGACTTAATATCAAATTTTCATGATTCAAATCATTTTCCAAATTAGCAGCTTGATCAATTTCATCATCTGAAAATTAAGAATACGAAAATAACAGGTAAATATCTTACTAAATAATACACTAGAAATTATTATTTACAAATTAGTTCATATACAAATATTACCATAAACTTGAGAAGGACCAGGCATTGTTATTGGCAATTCATCTTCTTGATTCACGGATTTTTGTTTTGTAATATTTTCTCGCAGTTTTGCTAAGAACCCAACCCTTTTCGACATTCTGAAACAACACGATCATTTAAGTAAAAAAATATATTTATATAATCAATGTAACTCTTATTTTCATATAACACAAGAAATTAAACATTCTCGTAATATACCATAAAAACAATTCATATTTTGTATGAACAAAGACTGATTTTGTTATTGTGTCATTAACCCTTAACAAATATTCTCGTGAACACAGACTCATCATTGTTGTAACTCAATAGTATACTATAATTTCGCGTAGATATAGACCTAATTCAATTCCGTCTATAATATTACCTAGTATTTCTTGTAAAAATAGACTCAAAACATAAATATATCATAAAATTGTACTTACTTTCTCAAAAACACTGACCTAATACAAAAAGGGTCCTTATTTCAGACAAAACTTTCACAAAAACTAATCGTAAATCTAAGATCGGTCGTCCTTGACGAGAAGTCAACACACATGTGCTTCGCAGTCTGCGGCGTAACTAACTTCGGGCTGTATTCATACGAAAATATTAAGTGTTTAACTAGTTTCGCGCCAAACAAATATAGACACTTGGTGCCATCTCTCAGCGATTATTATTATTAACGTAATAGGTCTTTATTCACGCGATAGATAAAATTATTTTTAATAGATCTGCATTAATAACTCCATTTTGACAAATTTTGACTTAAGCCTACGTTCTTGCGAAGCGGCGATTTATAAGTGGCTTTTCAATGGTTTTTTACTTTCAGCTGCATCGTGACTAAGCATTATCGTCGAACTTTAACTTTGATACTTATATAGGTTTTTTTGTTAATTGTTTTTAATTCTATATTTAACCTATTTTGTATGAGATGCTGTAGTGTCAGTTTAACTGGTACGGGTGGTTGGTGGGAATACCTATTTACCAAAGCACAATACCAATCTACAAAACACAATATTATCTGAACTGCCGTAGATAAAATATAGTATTCAACTCACCATTTGTATTCGCTAATTTTGTATATCACCAAAATTATTATGAATATGATTACGAATTAGCCTCGATGTTCTGTTGGCGATAATAACTATGCAATTTATTCGAAGTGGAATAAAATGATTTTACGCTGGTATTTCCCTCGTGCCGGTGCATATGTGTCACTGAAGGCGTCTGAATGTCTTTGTTATGACTCTCTGTTACCCTCTGTGTACCTCTGCTATCCTCTGTTATTGTGTCTTGGTCTTTTAAAATGTTGAACGTCACGTCAAAACGTCACACGTCACGTAATTTATACATTTCACGTTCTGCGTCGAATGTCACGTCATTTCACGTTCTGTGTCGAATGTCACATAACTGTCACCTCCTGCGTCGAACGTCACGTTATTTCACGTGACATTTTACGTTCTGTATTGAATGTCACATAACTGTCACATCCTGCGTCAAATGTCACGTTATTCACGTGACATTTTACGTTCTGTGTCGAATGTCACATAAATGTCACGTCCTGCGTCGAATGTCACGTCATTTCACGTGACATTTCACGTTCTGTGTCGAATGTCACATAAATGTCATGTCCTGCGGCGAATGTTACGTCAATTCACGTGACATTTCACGTTTTGTGTCGAACGTCACATAAATGTCACGTCTTGCGTCGAATGTCACGTTATTCACGCGACATTTCACGTTCTACGTCAAATGTCACGTGACATTTCACGTTCTGTGTCGAATGTCACATAAATGTAACGTCCTGCGTCAAATTTCATGACATTTCACGTTCTGTGTTAAATGTCACATAACTGTCACGTCCTGCGTCGAATGTCACATCCTACGTTGACGTTCTCTTAGTCACTGTACGAAAAAGAAGAAGAAGAATGTTCGAGCGGTAACATGGCTTGTGTGTGTGTGTGTGTGTGTGTGTGTGTGTGTGTATCACCAACGCTTTGACACCTCATACGTCAAAATCTCATGCCAATAGCAATGAAGATACGTTTTAGCGCCCATTTGGCATCGCCCCCATCTTTGTTTTTTGTCTCCCCGCCTTCTCCCCGTTCCAACGAGCCCTCGTACGTCACAATCAGACTAATAGCAACGAAGATACGTTTTAGCGCCCATTTGGCAACGTCGCCCTCTTTGATTTTAGTCTCAATGTATTCGTTACATCCTCCCCGTTCCAACGACCCCTCGTACACCGCGATCGGACCAATAGAAACAAAGATATGACGTAATGACCTTTTGGCATGCTCCGATGCGCACTGCACATACTGCGTTCAACCCCATTTTTCATTTCCTTTCCAACGAGCCCTCGTACGTCACGATCGGACCAATAGAAACGAAGATACCCCATAATGACCTTTTGGCATGCTCCGATGCGCACGGCACATACTGCATTCAACCCCATTTTTCATCCCCTTTCCAACGAGCTCTCGTACGTCATCCTAGGTTAAGCCGTTTGGAACTTACGACCGGGGGTTGCGATTTTAGGGGTTGCAATGTAGGGGTTGTGCCAGAAGACCCCTAGTATATCTACTAACGACGTAGATGCCAGGTGGAAGAACATCAAGAACTGGGTAAAAAATAGAAGAGTATAATGGAACGATCATATAAGTCGAATTACAACAAATGAAATGGTAAAGATGGCAAGAGACGGTTTCTTAAGAGGAAGACGATCAGTAGGAAGGGCATGAAAATGACGAAACGACAACTAACTGGAGGCACATTGAAAAAAAAAAATAGAATCATGTCTATATAAGAAAAACAAGACGGGAAGAAGAAGAACTATTTTCTTTTGAAAATTTACTTACTATACTTTGTTAACAATTGTCTAATGATTTGTTCCTAAAACCTTTTATTCAAGTTTTTTAAGTTAACAATTAAATTTTTTAATATTAAAAATTATGTAGCTTGCGTAAGGGGAGGGGAAGTGTAAAATAAGAACTTAAGAAAGGCTAAGGTGGGGCATGTCACAAAAAAGGTTAAGAAACACTAATCTAGAAGATAATGCAGTAATATATTTATTGACTAAAAGAAAAAAAATATTAAAAGAATAGTAAAATGTCGATAACGAGCAGACAAACGTACCAGAACTCAAACAATGATGCGTTGGAGTAATGACTTAAAATTAATTTCTGGGAATTGAATGATAACAGTTCAAAATCGGGAGACATAAAGGAGCTTGTAAGATGCTTATGTTTAACAGTACGCAATAGCTGCTAGATGATAATGATGATGAGTTTATTTTTTACATTCATCTTAATTTTTTCTTTTTATATGAAGAGATTTAAATGTTGTCTAGCAAAGTTAAAGTTTTAAATAAATCATTTGTCTACAAGCTGCTTTACTGTAAAAAACTGATGTTTAAAGTACAAAAAATACCTCATATCTAAACTATTTGTTTGTGTATAGTTTTAGAAACGTATTTTGCTTTGTCTACAAAACAATTATTTGGTTTATCACTAAAAAAATTTAATTTCTCTGTAAATTTTTGTTACCAGTCTAAACACAATTTCCCTGCGATCTTTTTGTAAAATATTTACACACAGATTATGATCTCGCTTTGGTTTTTAAAACTTCGTTAATATTTTATATTTCATTTTACCCAATTATATCTTCCCGCCTTTTCTGTTGGGCCGAGCAGGGAGTCAATATGATTAATGAGAGGCATTTTCAGAGACTGTGTTTATAAACTTCGTATTACTCAATGTGTACTTTTGGTGGAATAAGATTGATGAGATGAACAGAAAAAAATATTCATTTTATTAAATTCAGTTTTAAGCGACGTAAAGTCTTGGCAATTTAATTATCTACTTATTGGAATCTGGTATTTATCTGCCAAAAGGGGAAGTTTAATGAATTGATCTCGCAGAATTTTTCTTTATCACACACGATTACACGTAATAACACGCGTGTTTTCCTGGATCGTTAAGTTGGTTTTTATTTAACAATTTATTGCCTCTGTTTGGGAAGACTATTACAAAATGGATTTGCCATAAATAAACAATACATTATTTATGAAATATAGGTAGTCGGATTTTACTACCATATGTTTTATTTAATATTTGATATTTTGATTTATGTTTATAAAACGGGATTTTAATTTTTATAATGTTTTGTTGGTATAAAAATGTAATAATAACAAATCTGCAAAAGCATAATATCTGCAGCTCTTCTTTAAATATCTACAAAATGAAATATACTAATAATAGACGAATTTGCAGAGTGTTCTATTAAAAATAAGAAAACTTTTTGTTTAAAATTATTGATAAGTCTGTATGTTATATAACAAGATGTGAAAAGGT